TCCATCTCTGCCTTGGCCTTCCTAACCATCCCCCTACATCCCCGAGCAACTGCTGAATAGTCCTCCTTAGTGATGACCCCTCCTTTCCATTGGGAGTAAGCCTCCTTTTTGGTAAGGAGACATTCCCGGATGTCTTTAGTGAGCCGTGGAGGCTTATATGCTCTCCTGCCCCCTTTGACCCTCCTGGGGAGGTGTTGCATAGGGCTCTGCCTTGCAGTTGCAGGTGGCTGAACCAACGGTATAGCCCCACTTCATTACTTGCTTGGAGCATCTGACTCCGTCCGGCATGTAGGTGGTTGAGACATTCGTATACAAATCCTATACAGCATGTGCATGCCATGGGGTCATTGGCCCCTGGTTATAAGGGCTCGGCTGCTGGCATGTCCATTCTTCTGCTGTCGGGTATTTTCATCTATGGGGGATTCACAAGATGAGACCCATGGACTGCAAATAAGAAGCCATAGTTTCAAAAACATTCCCACCTGTTGTGGTCGGTCTGAGTTCTTTGTAACAGAAGAATTGATCTAACATATTTCCGTAGTCCAACGAGTGGAAAGCTAAGAGCTAGTATTTTCCAAGGGGTGCCCAGAGTCTAACAAGGGGGTGCCTCGACGCTAAAAATGTCGAGCAGAATGTGGCTGTGACTTATCATCAGAGATGGCACTAAACTTTGGCATCAAGAAGAGGCTCTGCTAAAACAACACTCAAGACTTAAACTAATGCAAATAAAAATAAAATGACTGGTTGAGTCTTGACTGACTGCAAGAAAATTGCAAGCTGATGGAAATATTTTGACATTGTGGTCTACGCTCGCTGGGTTGTGTGGTCATGAGCTCATGGAAGCATTAGAAGGAGGGAGGCGATGCCTTTGGGACTAGACTACAGATAACTGTTTAGATTTGCGGTTTGGAGAACGTTACACCAGTCTGTGGTCTAGGATTTGCAATATTGGTATTGGCATCGAACAAAAGACAGTGCCACCAGAATGAGGTGCTGGTGACATCCTTAAGGTGCCATGACCAAGGAAATAGCAGGAATCACATTTCTGTCTGTCCGGTTCTTTTCTAGTACCAAGTCTTTGTGGGGTATCGGACTTGATAACTGTTTTCTGATTGCAGACTTGGTTCTTCCATTTTGGTTTCACAACGTGATTTTAGTGGATTGATTGATCAAATAAGCGATTTAGAAACCTAAATTTCAGCTGAGGTGCTTCTGAATATTATATGGTAAATGCTTGATTAACTTTAAACATTGACCTTGAACCAGCAAAGAGAGGAACCTTGTTCCTTGATGATGTTTCCATCCTTGTGACTGGAGGCTAGGGCTTAATTGAACTGCAGCCAAATACAAATCTAAAGGTAAAAGGTTTAAGTTGTACGAGACATCGAAACTTCTGTATTTTAGGGGATTACCTTGTTAGTACTAGTTCTGCTTTCATTTCCTGCAGTTTGCAAATAGAGGTGTATATTTTAACTGAAAACTTCACCTTCCATTTGTGCTTGACCCAAAGTGCATAAATAATAATCTGTCTAATTAAAGCCATGCACAGAAGGATGTGCAACACTGCCTTGTAGTGTGTAAAGATTTATCAAAATTCATAGACCGGTAGCAAAACCTTTTCTTGACTGCATGTAGAAAGTGTCTGCGCATTGGATGCTGCAGGATGTTGGTTTGGTTGTTGCCAAAAAATTATAACTGTCTGGGGGATGCTGTGGGGTGACTACTCGAGTCCCAAGCATCCAGCGATACCTATCAAAGAAACCCTTGAATATTTTCATGGTTATTAGCTTTTTGTCTTTGTGCATCTGGCTACTTATGGCCAAGACTTTCAGCCTTGGTGTTTTTGAAGCATGTAATCTTTGGGTCCTGTGCAGTGTTGCACTTGAATGGCTGTAAAATGATGAGTCATGTTGCTCAGATAATGATCTTTGCAAGCTCCTTTAATATATCAAATGATCTGCAATTTGAGCCTTACTTTACTTCAGTTGTTATAGTTGTACTTGATTTTTTTCCCTATGTTTTTCATCTAGAACAACCTTTTTCTAAAATAGCTTCTAGATTTCCTTTTTAAATGGTACAACTTTTTGTTGGTTAAAGGGTGGATTTTTTTTAACACAAAGTATTCCCACATTCAAATATGGAGCAAAGCAATTTGTTGTTTATCTTTATTCAGTATTTAACGGCATATGTAAAAACTGCATAAATGGTATGTATTTCTTATCATGCCCTCATTACTTCGTGGCTGGGAGATCATAATGTGACTTGAATTGGCAGCCTGTCTTCTGTAAGATGGTATTTAGTCTGGGAAAAAATAAATCAACATCTAAGGAAGCCCCTTTGGGAAACATGAGGCACATCTTCCCATTGCCTGCCTTCTCTTGATGATGTTTCTCTAAATCTCTTCTTAACTCTACTTAAGCACTGATGCCTTTTTAAAGTAAGCAATGTGCAGTTGGGAATCAACTTGACAAACAGATCTCTGCTGTTTTGTTCAACAAGTTTTTGCACCACTCTGGTTTGTGCAAGTTGCCTGCTCCTTGCCAGAGAGCTAAAATAGACACCTATGCATATGGAGAAAAGGACTGGATGATGTTCTTTATATCTAGCCAGTAATTAAACTTGGAGGGTTTTTAGCATTTTAATTTATTAAAGCATCACCTTCTAACATCAGTGATGGGGTGTGGCCATTAATTGGCGTTACTAATGTTTGCTGAGAACAACATGCAACCAGGCCACTATGGAAAAGATACAAGTAGCACCACAATTTGCAGTATACGCTAGGGACTATGGTAAAACATTAGTCGTCACAGGGGAGGTTGGTGGCAACTTGCTCAAGAGCTCGATTCCAGTGTGTTATCTGGTTTTCTGCTGCTGAGGATACTTGGTTAACTCCTGGCTCTGGGTGGAGACTAAACCTAGCAGGAGATTAAGTTTTATTCTTGATTCCAGCCAGGTAGTGGCATTTATTTAATGCTGTGATTGCAAGCACTGCTAGAAATTGAATGTTCATTTAGCAAACTCGGGAGAGCTGGCTTGGCTTTGACACTTTCTGAGCATCAGGGAATTACGGAGCCCTGAAGCAATTGTTACATCTGTTTGTGCTGTGGGATGGGAGGCAAGCAAACAGTTGCCAGCATCAACATCCAAGTAGCTGTACGAAAGCTGTCATTAAAATTTGATTCTCTTCTCATTCTCCAGGTTACAGAGCTGCTGAGCCATGGCTGACTTGGATAACAATCTCAGTCTCGCAGACGCCCTGACAGAGCCACCACCAGAGATTGAGCCAGAAATAAAACGGGACTTCATTGCCACTCTGGAAGCGGAGAAATTTGATGATGTGGTTGGCGAAACAGTGGGCAAAACCGACTATGTCCCTCTCCTGGATGATGATGATGCAAAGGCTGGGAACCAGGATCAAAAATCCAAATCCCACACAGAAGGTGTTCAGGTGCAACGTAAGTGTCTTAAACACAAGACCAAAGCGTTACATACTCCATCGATATTATTTTTATTATCATTATCATCAATATAAAAAGCTGCAGGATGGTCTGCCTGTTTAAAACTCAGCTGTTTATATACCATTTTAAAGTGAGCATTGGCTCATGATTAGACTTCTTGACTGGGAGTGAGGAGATCTGGATTCTGATTGTGGCTGCGTGCAGGTCTTAGTGTATGACCTGGAGCAAATCACTTTCTCTCCCTGCTTCAATTTCCAAATATGTAAAATAGGATATGGGGTACTCCTGCTTCACAGGACACGCATATCGTGGGATTTAATGCTAGGAGACTGTTTTGAAAGTTTTAGTAAAAGTTCTAATGACTACATAGACTCAATATTTTATGTACCATAGTGTGGTTCATCCCAGAGCTGCGCAAAGCTGGGTGAATGCTGAAGTCTGTATCTGACTGGCTAACAGAATCTGTATTGTCTGGCTGGCTTGTGCTGTAATTGCTGGAGGCATTTATATGCGTACCTTTTCGTCCTGCGAGTCAGAGCAGACTCGATTAATCCGACTCGAGTCTGCTCCGCACGTGAACTGACGCATACTGTGCTGCTATAAGCAGAGAACTGTCAGCAGACAGAAGATGGTGGCGGTGCACTTTTGAACTAAGCCACCCTCGAGGTGTGTTAGTTCCAGCCATTTCCTCAGTGCTAGCATGCATTTTGTTGCTTTGAAAAGCACCTGCATGCTTTTGCGGTGGGTGCTGTTCAAAGCTCCTGGCGCTGCGGCACAAACGTGTGTAGAATCATAGAAGTCAGGTCGAAGGGACCTTGTAGATCTTCAAGTCCGACCCCCTGCCTGGGCAGGAGAAAAAACTGGGCTCAGATGATCCCAGCCAGGTAGGCATCAAGCCTCTTAAAGACCCCCAGGGTAGGAGCCAGCACCACTTCCCTTGGAAGTTGGTTCCAGCTCCTAGCCACCCTGACAGTGAAGTAGTTCTTGCGGATGTCTAATCTAAACCTCCTCTCCAACAACTTATGGCCGTTATTCCTTGTTATGC